GGGAAGGAAAGAACACATCAGCCCCTTAGACCGCAGACCCGGGGCTGAGTGGCAGCAGGGTGTGTGTGGCAAAAGGGATTCAGGCAGATAAAGAATTTGGAAAGAGCCATCCGGGATAGACAAGTGGCAATGGAGAAGAGCAGAGAGTGTACACCTGCAAAGGGCAGAAGTGGAGGGAGTTCTCTCTCGAGCCAGTAAGCAAGAGGAATGAAGCCACTGTGACAAATGTGGTAGAGTTCAAGATGGGGCAGGTTACCGATCTGAGACTGATACAGAAACTCAGGCTCACAGAGAAGCATGGGGGAAGGAAAAGACAGAATGAGGAGAAGGTTGAAATAGACATGGATGATAGGAAGAGCTATGGAAGGAAGTGGGAGAGGAAATTGGAAAGAGGTATATACAAAAGGTGAAAACTGGGGACAGGAGAGAGAGAGCACATGCGTGATGGAGATTAAGGTTGGTATCTGGTTAGGAGTGGGGCTGCTAACCTCAAGGTCAGGAGTTCGAAACCACCAGCTACTCCATGGGAGAAAGATGGGGATTTCTACTCCGGTGAACAGTTAAATCTTGGAAACCCACAAGGGCAATTCTACTCTGTCCTGTAGGGTCAGCATGCATTGGCATGGGCTTAATGGCAATGAGTGTTTTAGTTTTATGTTTTATGGAACACTGGGTAAGTATTTGTTTGGGAAGAAAGCTGAATATGTATATGAAGAGGAATTGGAGAATATATTAGGAGGGCAGGTGGGAGTGACATGGAAGGGTAACTACAGGAGTCAAAAGTTACAGATTCATTCTCTACAGAGAACAAGATTGGGAGATTAATGGGAGATCAAAGCATGCAGCCCTGGCCAAAGGACTGTGGGGGTGGGATGGCCCCTTCCGAATAACTAAGCACCCTTACCAACAGAGGCATTGGCGCTCTGCAACTCCTGGTCAGAGACATGGATCTTGACACCAGACTTGGGGGTGAATTCAGGGATGTGCACAGACTGTAGGAGTGCAGTCACAGCAATTCGGTCCTTAGAACCGGTCAGCCCATAGGTCTGAGCAAACAGGTTGGCGGCAGCCATCACGTAGTCCAAGTGCAGAGGCTGAGAGAAGGCAGGACATGGAGAGGTGAGCACACCGGCCCTCATTTGAAAAGCCTCCACCTCCGATTCACTCACCCATTCTCCACTTGATCATAGGAGACGCCAGAGCAGACTTACATTGTTGACATCAAAGGTAAGAGGGTGTGGACATCGCTTGGGCCCAGACCAGAACGGAGCTCCTGAGCTTGTGAGCTAAGAGGGTGAGGAGATTTGAGGTGGAGCAAGACCTGAGAGTGGAGGCCTGACAATCCCAATCAATCACCCTGGTCCTGGATACAACCATAAAATCCCCAGACTATAAATGGAGAATCTAGTGCCGGGGTGAGCCAGAAACATTGCTGTGTGAACAATTACCAATTTCTGAACAGTTTGTACCAAGACCACAGCTACTTAAACTCTTACCAGCATAATATTAATAAAAATCAATCCTCACACTAGCCCCCCCCAATGAAATCGATTATTATTCAGAGAAGAGCTACATGACTTGCCCCAAGTTGAAAAGGAGCTGAGGTTTATGACCCAATAACGATTCTTGTAGTCTTAACTCCAAAATGTCTCCCCTTCAATCTCTGAAGCTGCCTGGGAGATTTGGCATGCCACAAGTCAGAGGAACAGAAGCCAGGTCCCTTTTTAAAAGGCCTTGGGGTGGGAGAAAATCTATCTGTGCAAAAACCACCCGGGCTTCATCTTCCTTCTGACGTCTGCATGCCCTGAGGCACCTGAGTAGGATGAGCCACAGAGGCCAGGGTGGGCTCCTCACGGGACAGCGGCCTGACCTGAAGACGGACCCAGCAAACACCAATTACCTGGTTGGGAGGGAAATTGTGTAGGAGCTGCCGGATGTTGTTGGAGTACTGGGTGTGCCAGTGGTAGCAGGCCCAGGTCACACAATCGGCCCAGTTCTGTGGTCGCTGCAGCACCAAGCTACGCTGTACAGCCTCCAGCACCTCCAGTGGTTGGGTACCTGCCAGTCGCAGTGTTCGCTCCACAAACTTGGGGTCTCTATCAGGAATCAGTTGGGGCAAAAGGGTAGGATTACTCAGCAGCTCCAGGATACCACTCTCCCCTCACCACCACCACCACCATCATCATGTCCTCCATGGAGAGCTATCCCTGACCCCCCAATAGTGGCATGAGGCCCAGGTAGTCAGGAATTCACTTGACGGTTGCCTGCTGCTGAGGAAAGCAGACAGGATGCCTTGGCTTGTGGGAAGGAGATAGGGCAAAGAGTGTTTGGACTACTCACGTAAGGTACTGGTTAACATTTTCTGCTGGCTGCTTGAAGAGCCCTTCAAACTCATCCCGAGCCCACTGCAACAGAGCACACAGATTACATGGGGTGATGCTGACAAGATGGGTTTCCAGAGGCGTTAGTGGAAAAAAATAAGTCAGAAGCTCACTGCCGCTCTGGGAGGACAGTCTTACCCACAGCTTCCCAGCTTTCCCCACCACCACCGTGGTTCACACAAGGCAAATCTATTCTTAATCGGTATGGAAATGTGAAAAACTGCCTTCTTAAGACCAGTGAACCTTACTCGAGGTTTGGGCCTCAATAAGAGAGAGAACATTTAGACTAAAACACAAGTGCTTCCGGTCCAGGCCTGGGAGACTCAGCAGAAAGCAAGGTAGAGGCTCTTGCCCTCTGAGAATTCCTAGAACATGGTGACTTGGGAGTCTCAAGATGTTACAAAATCAGGTTGAAGCCCTCACTCTGCCACATACAACCTAGTGTTGACTTTGGGTACATAAGAGGACACCTTTACCTCTTTGTCCTCATTCCTGATAGACATATAGTAATGCCCAGCTGAGGGGGCTGCTCTGAAGGAACAAGCAAATCTCGACATATTTCAAGTGAGCTTCAAACAGCACTGGAATCACGATACATCTGTCATCCCCATTTTACAGATGAGCAATCTGAAGCACAGAGATTTAAGTCTGAGACCACATATGGCCTCATGAGAGACTGTGGTGGGTGCACAAACACAAACATACCCAGAAGTACCTCTCCCTCCCATAACTGGAATAGTCATTCTGATAGCACTGTGGGTACCCTTGGGTGTAGGTAGTGACTGGAAGGGGTTGGGTGCCAGTAGGCCAGGTGGGTTTGCTCTGTGAAAGTACAGCTGTGTCTACATCAATTATATAAGGCGGCTTCAAAGGCTTGTGGAAAATGAAACTCAAAAGATAATGGGATTGGTACACGAACTTTTTGAAGCCCCATCATATAAACAGAATCACTGTGACAAACCAGCTGTTAAACCTATCTGGGCAATAGTTGGGAAAAGCGGAGTATCGAAGATAACTGGTGTTTTGTTTAGACAACAACAGTTCTCAGCTGGGGGTAATTTGCCTGCCTGCCCACCCGCCCCCCCTGAGGCATTTTGGTCTTTTGGTCGTCACAGCTGGTCGGGAGAGTAGCTGCTGGTACTGAGTGGAGAAGCCAGGGATGCTGCTAACCCTTCTGCAACGCACAGGGCAGCTCCCACCTAAAGTGGTATTTGGTGCCCAGGTTGAAAGCTCTATTCTGTAGAACATAATCTCGCTCTGCAGACGCATACTGAAGTGTTGTGGTGTCCATGGCCCGTTCCAGCACAAAGGGAAAGAACTATGAATCAAATGTGGCAGAAGATGAACAATGGTGGCATCTTATTTGAGTGCTTATCGTTTTTCACACTTTGTTTACATGTTGAGAAAGTTTCAAAGTTATAAAGAAAACTACAATGAATCATCGTAGAAACTTAGGCTGCTGGGTAGGGAAGTGAAGGAGGCCAATTTGGAGAAAAGTTTCTCTTCCAAGTAGGCGTGTGCAGTACATGAATGCCAGAGGTCTGGTGGTCTGGGTACCTGCCTAGCCACTCAGCCTTTTCCCAAAGCCTATCAGTCACCTGCAGGGTGTGCTCGATGGCATTGGGGAAGTTCTTCAGTGTGCAGATGGGGATGGACTTCTCTGGGGGGTCCTGGCTAGAACTGTAGGACTCTGTCAGAAACGGGATCACCACTTGCACATTGCCCTTGGTGCCTAGTGTGCCCGACTCCAGCAGGGGCTTCCGGTAATACACACAGCGGCGGTCCATGTACATGCCTGCAAGGAAAGGGGGCAGGGGGAATTGGGAATTGCGAAAGAAATATCCAGAGATGACAAAAGCACAAGGCACACATGCCCCACACACAGCCCTACTCTTGTCCTCTTCACCTGCCTGTCTCCATACTCACGGGCATCCACGTTGTCCAGGGCATTGGCCACACCATCCAGATTTTGGAAGAAATCGTCGTCATAGATGCGCTCTGTGTCAGGGCCCACGCGGTTCTGGTGGCTCATCACCCGGATGTGTGGGTTCATTTGGTGCACGGCTATTGCAGCAGTGTTAGACTTCAACTTCTAGTGAAGCAAAGGGGTATACAGTTCCAGGAGGATTTTGGAAGACTACAGCTCAGCCATTCCTCCATATACCTGACAGCCTGGACACTGACTGACTTACTAGTCAGAACGGAGCCCCAAGTTCAAGAAGCTCCCTGGTTTAGCAGGAGAGATCAGCGGTAGCAATGCCACACAAAGAGGGTTACGGCAGCTGGGACAGGGGCAGTAGAAAGGAAGCAGTGGATAAACACAGACTGAAGACACAGGGTTACACATCTGTTCTTCTGACTACACCTATTGTAAGTAACAGCACCTGGGCTTGGGGGCAGATGCCGGAGCACTCTTCCCCCAGAGCTCATCTTAGTCCCTCCCTTACAGCTTTTGCAGAAGTGAGGCCTTCTCAACGACGCCTCCCTTAACCACTGTAGCCAAAATAGCAAACCAACCTCACCTGGCACTCACAACTTCCCTATTTTGTTTAATGATTTCCTTTAAGACCATTTCCTGGCAGTTTCCAGAGAGAAAATACAAAACAAACAGGTTGGTTTCAAATACATAAACTGTGCTGGAATATAAAAATATCACTGATAATATTGTTCTGAAGAATGTCTACTGTCTCCAGGGCACTTCGATATTCCTAAGAAATGTGAGCACTCTTTTTCCCTGTGACTGGGATGTTGCCAGGCCTGCCATTGCTATTCAACATAATTTCCACGAAGATATGGAGCCTGGAAATCATGCTGACAATTAGAGAGGGTCATTCCCAAGCCCATGCCAGAACCAAAGGCCAGCGGCCACATTCTTCTTTTAAAAAGGTGAGAAAAAAAGAATTCCTAATCCAAAACCAGTACCTAGCTTCACGACCACATCAGTCAAGCACCAGTCCCACCACTTCCTGCAGCGCTCTGCACATGGCAATCTATCTGGGACGCTGACTACAGACACCATTTCCCCTCTGCTTGTTTTTATATTTCCTTTGCACAGCATTTATAACTTATAGACTTTCTGTATTTAACTGCCGGCCTCCCTGATGAGCATCCTCCTTCCGTGGTGTATCCCACGTGCCCAGAACAGTACCTACCTACTTCCTCAATAACTAACTACTTGGCGAATCATGAATGACAAGGGACTAGACTTTGGGCAAGCAAATACAGTGCCACCTACAGGTGTCCCAGATAGATTCCTGTGTAACCCTGGGCAGGAAAGAGTTAGCAAAGCCAAGTGTAAGCTGCTAGTTTGGCTCTTAACTGGCATCTGGGAACTTGGCTTATAGGAGGGTGCCCCCCTCCCCCGTCTTGTACACTCACTGTGTCTACACTGCATGCAAACAAGATGATTTAGGCTGAGCACCTGCGTTCCTTCTGAGAGTCTGGACTTAGGGTATTAGACAAGTCTATGTGACCAGCCTCTAATAAAACCCCCCGAGGCTGAGTCTCTAATGAGCTTTCCTGGTTGGCAACAGTTTACACGTATTGGTCCAACTGATCGCTGGGGGAATTAAACTCAGATCCTGCTGGGAGAAGACTCTTGGAAACTTGTACCTAGTCTCCCCACCTCCCATGCACCGTGTTCCCCTTGGCTGACTGCTCTGTAATAATCCATAGCCATTGAGGTAATGACTATTCACCAAGCCCTAGGTAGGAGTCCTTCTCGCAAACGGTAGATTTGATGGGAGCGGGGGCTCAAAGAAAGGTTTGCTGAATGAATCATGGAGAGGAAAAGAAAGTTGAAGGAAAGATCAAGGTGGAAAGGCTTCTGCTAGGAAGAATGAAAAGAAGAAAAAGACAGAGGAAAAATGAAAGGGCAAAAACCCTACTCCCACCCCACTCACCGTGACGTCCCAGGGCCGGAACAGAAATTGTCGGTTCAGATTGGACTTCTCAATGGTGTCCATGTCTGTGACGACGATTTCCCCACCCTCTCCACAGCCCAGTCCAATCATGGCGAAGTTCTTGAGCAGTTCACAGCCAATGGCCCCTGCACCCACCTAGCAGATGGCCAAGAAGAGAGAGAGTCTGGTCAGGGTGACTCAGGCTAGTGCGAAGTCACTGCTTACTCCTCACTCTTCCTGGATACAGCAGGAGAGGGGAGAGGCTAGGCCACATCTTCACGTGCCATGGTCATAAGAAATAGCGCAGTCGTCTGAGGAACTGTGAAGCACCAAAGAGAAGAAATGGGGGGGCTGCAGCAAGCTTTCCCCCATGATAAAGAAAATAGCAAAGGGAAAGGGGCAGGGGCAAGGGCAAGGGTTCAAGAACTAAAAGATTCTCTCTTGGGGAGGCAGAACACTGGAGAAGAGGTGGCCCGAGGCCAGGGGAGGTGAAGGCCACTAGCACTCACCAGGACCACTCACCAGGAAGTATTTCTGCTTGCCCAACTTCTCCTGTATGTCTGAGCCGAACACAGCCACCTGCCCATCATAACGGTTCTGCCTCTGAGAAATGCAAAGCAGAAGAGGGTCACAGAGAGGCCTTCCTGGAAATGCCAGCAATGCCTTCCCAGGGGCTCCACTCACATACCGGTAGGCACTTGTCCTCTCTGAGGGCATCTTTGTCCTCAGGAAGACACTCCAGGGCATCAAAGTACAGCCACTGCATGATGGGCATGAACTTCCCTGAGCAGGCCTGAGGTGAGGGAGGAGAGGGGAGATGGTCAGTAATCAGGGCTCAACACAGATGAACAGTACATGATAAAGAAATGTGCCTCGCCCGAGCCTCTATCCTCAGGCCCACCCCAACACCCTGCCCTGCCACACCCGTGCTGACCTTCATGACCTCCTGGGCAGCTAGGCCCCCAATGAAAGCATTGATGGGCGCCAGATCACCAGCAGCCACATATGACAACTTCCGAATAAGGTCCTCGTCCAGGCTCTCTTGCTGCACTGATGGTCTGGCTTGTGCATTCACAGCCTGTGCTAGGGCCACCAGTTCCAGTGCATCTTCCTAGAAGGACAGAAAGAACCAAGAGAGCCTTTCAGGCCACTGGGAGGAAGGGAAAGGAAGGAAGGGTGGACAGCGAGAGATGGCGGGCTTCAATGCCAAAACCCTGCACCCTGGTTGGCTCGCCCATCCCCTACTTACATCATTGTGAGGCCGAGGTGGTCGGCCATGCAGAGCACAAAACCGGTGCAGGGCCTGGAAGCCAATGTGCAGCTGGGCCGGACGAGAATACTTGGCAAAGTCCGTTAATACAAAGTCAGGGTTCACCAGTGAAGCCAGCAAGGATTTCTGTGGAAGACAGGGCCATCAGACCAAAGAGGGACGGAGCACTTAGAAATGCCTAGCACCACTCTCCCCAGGAAGCCCACTTTCCTTGGATACTCACAAAGCTAATCTTTTTCGGTACTTTGACTTGACTGACGATGCCTCCCCGGACATAGTCAGAGAAATTGGAGGTGTCACAAATGCTGAAAGTATACGGACCTAGGGTGGATGAGAAAGCAGTCGGTCCGCCCAAGCCCCCTAAGAGCCAGGGGGAAAGCCCAAACCCAACTCAGCTCAGACATCAGGAGCCACATCTTCCCTGCCCTGGGCTCCACTTGGACAGCAGAGATCATCTTATTTCTGCCCCAGACCCCGTTTCCTGCGCCCAAGTCTACAGTGCAAGCCCCTTTTCTCTGCTCTCTGCCCAAAGCTCGGACACCAGGAGGTCCTCGAATCGACTTCGTTCCAACACCAGAGGCCTTCTCCCTTCTCGGCTCAGATCCCAGGGACATTCTCTTAGGAAAAGCCTCTCTTTCCCCATTACCCAACAAAACCAGTTAGACCCAGAGGGCTGATTCCATTTCTGGTGCACTTCAGATACGTCGCTTCCCTTCAATCCCCTGGTCAGAGCCCCAGACATCTCCGGTCTTCCCCTCTGGTTCCCCATGACCCTAGCTCACCCAGGACTTTGATCTCTATAGGATGATTTCCGTTGAGTTCGATCATGCCCTGTACTTCCGAAAAGGAGACAAAGTCGCCACTCTCAAACCCATGTCGAGCCTCATCCAAGCACGTAACCACACCAGGGCTGTCCTGTTAAAGGAGGAGTGCGTCTCAGTTGCAGGCTCGCTCGGGGACCAGGAGCAGACAGGGAGGACCCCTGGGGCGAATCTCCTCACCTTGGTGACCATAGAAACCATAGCACTCAGCGGCTGCTCCCCATTGGGATCCGTGAGGATCATTTCTTCTCCAAAATCACAGAAGAGCTGCCTGCAGAGGGAGGCAACAAGGCCTGGTGCTCACATTCCACGCATGTGGGGGCCCCAGCTGCCTCACAAAATGCAGTGAAAACTTGCTAAACAAACTCAACCCATCGCTGCTGGGGATCAGCCACTGCTCATACCACACAAGGAAAGGAGAACACACAGAATACAAAATTGGAAGGGGTAGGGGTTGGGGGGGGAAGCGGGGGCAGACACTCACCCAAACAGGCCACGTGTGTCTGCCACCACCAGCTTGATACCATGGCTGTGACAGAACTCACCCACTCGCAGCTGGTCCTCCAGGGGGGTGTTGGTAAGGACCACCACCTGTGAAAATGTGGAGGCTTAGACCAAGGGCCACACAAAGAGGTGGAGGAGAGACTGGAGAAAGGTTTATGGAGAGAATTCAGAAGTTCTTAAAGCAAAGATGCCCAGGCTTTGCTGGCCCAGCCCTCTTTTACAAATAGAAACATAGTACCTACTGTATATTAAACCCTGAGAGGGTGACACTCAATGAAGAGGTAAATACCTACCTAGATCATGATGCAAAGTAAAGAGGTACCTAGGGGAGGCATAGTTGGGAGACCAGATGATGCATTTGACCCCAACACCCACTGCTGCCTGCCTAGACCCTGCTGTGCTCTGGGAAACACAAGATCTGTAAAATTCTGTCCCCAAAGTCTGAGCTCCCTACTACCACACCCACCTGCTCCAATGCTCCAAACATCTGCTCAGGCAGCATCTGTGGAACTGTGCTCTCTGCCTGGGTGCCCACTGGGACCTACAAGGGTGAGCTCCTACTCCTACAGCAGTCAGGGCTCAGTGGTGGTGCTCTGGGACACACAAAGCAAAATCATGGCTCCTCATTCTGTCCCAGGTTAATCTGTCACTTTATTGTATAGCCCTTACCATGTGTGCCACGGCTACACTTAACTTTCGCAAAAACTCTTATGCGGAAAGAAAACAAAGGGGAAAAAACCCCAACATTCACAAGTCTATGAGATGGGTATTGCTGTCGTCCCCATGCTACAGACGGTAAAAGAGGCCCGGGAGGCTACCGTAAGGGACTTGCTCAAGGTCACGCAATTAGGAGCGCTAGAGACTCACTCACACCTAGGCCATTTGGTTCTGTGCTCCTAAAAAGCTGTGAGCGCCCCCAAGGGCAAGTCTGGGGCCTAAATCCTGCCTGCATCCCCTAGCCTCCCTCCTGAGGCATAAAACTTGGCAGAAGGCTGTTAAATATTAAACAAAGGAACAAACCAGAGAAGGGCTGGGAGAGTTAGACAGGAAGCCTCCAAGGTACCTGGAAGCCACTAAGGAAGTCCTCAACGAGGGGCCCAGTGTAGGCGCTGACAGGGACGTAGCTGTTGAGTTCAGCAAGGCGAGGTTGTGATACCTCAGCCCGGTTTTTGCCAATGTCCTCCTCTCGTAGGTAGAACTGAAAGGGATGCAGTAAGGAAAGAAAGTGGCTGAGACGCCTGGTGTGGGGCAGGGGGAATTCCTCAGCAGAGGGAAAGGGAACTGGGAGAAGGTACCTGGGAGGAGAGGTCAGCCCACTGAGCAGTGCCCTGGTCATGAAGAGTGACAGCCTTGACCCCACCAAGGATGATGTTCTTGGCAATCTCTACTCCTAAGCCCCGCAGGCCCGAAACCAGCACGCTGGATGTCTGGAGTCGCTTCATTGCCTCATGGCCTAGCACATACCTGCCAGGTTAAGAGATTAGGGGACACGTCGAGCCAGGGCCTGGCCCACCCAAACCAATCTTCACAGAAGCCCCCTCCCAGCTCTCCGCCAGTCCTTGGCCCTACTTACAACTGCCGGGAGTAAAGGCTCTCGTCTATGTCCGCTTCACTGCCGTTCTTCGCCATTCCCTAAGGATGGAGAGGGGACGAGCAGAGGCAGAGTTAGGAGACCTGGGCGACAGCAGTACAAAGGACTTGCCCGCCACCCTCCAGGGATAAGACACTCACGTTGGTTGGCACCGAGGGTACTTTGGACAGCACGGAGTGGGCAGGGGTGCAGTTAGAACCCGGCTTTGGATCAGGCCCGGACACGCGACGTTTCTTGGACAGCGGCGAGCTGGACATCTGGAAGGAAAAGTGTAGGGTTTGAAGTGAGCCTGATGCGTGTGGCTAAATTTTTCTGTTGATGGTGATTACGGGGGATGACAAGACTGAAAGATGGAAACAGGCACAGAGAGGGGAGGTGACCTCTCCAAGGTCACAGAGCTGTCAAAGACTCAAACCGGGGGATCTGACTCAAATCCATGCCACTGCCCATGAAGTAATCTGCCTCTCTCCAGCTTAATTTAATGAGAGAGGAAGACTCCAATCCTGGGGGATCAAAGCTATGACGAGAATGTATTTGTGGGAAGGTAGGAGGAGAGATATGGATTCAGAACAGACCCATTTTAAAATCTCCACCCTTCCATTCCTCAGCAGATGGCATTTAACCCCTACAGGACTGTTTCCTCGCCCATAAAGATCAAAATGTCACTTACCTACTCCATGAGGTTGAGATGAGAAGAAATAACACGGAACATAAAGCTTGGCACCAAACTCCAAACCAACTCACTGCCATTGAGTCGATGCCAACTCACAGCGACCCTACAGGGCAGGGTAGAACTGCCCAGTTGGGTTTCCAAGACTCTTTATGGAAGTAGAAAGCCCCATCTCTCTCCCGAGTAACAGCTGGCTGGTGGTTTCAAACTGCTGACCTTTTTGGTTAGCAGCCCAAACATGTAACCAGGGCTAAGCTTGGCCCTGAGTAAACGAAAAAGCAAACTCGCTGCCAGCGAGTCAGTTCTGACTCATACACAGGCAAGCAACCATTCTACCTGCCCTTCGCTCCAGGCAGGCAGGCAGGCACACACGCAATACTGGGACCTGGCTACCAATCAGAGAGTAGGGTGACAGCAGAATATGCCACACAGGCACCTCAGTCCCCAGAGGAGCTCAGGGTTTTACAAAGTCCCTTCTGCCCCAGCTTTGGCAGCAGAAAAACCGGCCCAGGCTAATAAAGAGGTTGCAGGAAAAGAAACATGTTTCAAACCCCTCCTTTGCACGTGGAACCCACACACACAGGTTAACAGAAATGATGAAGGTATCCAGAGTCTTGCAAAGACCTTCCCGAGCCCTAGCTCGCTTTTTCCTCAGGGTACCTCCAGGAGATTTGGACTACTATTCAGTGACACCTGCACCCCACCCACCACTACCTTGCAAATTCCTGCAAGGATGTTGGAGGACTTGCTGGAGTTCGGCTGGGCTGAGACACACCAGGGTCTGCTGACTCTCGAAGCCTAAGCAGCCTCCCAGTAAAACATGACCTTGTTTTATCCTAATGGCCCTGACCCTGCAAAACAAGCTTTTAAAGCCTTGGGGCGACAAATGAGAAAACCTGAGTGCACAGAGGTCAAATTACTTGCCAAGGGTCAAACATTAGATTCTAGCAAGAGAACAATCTACTCTCCTGTAAAAGGGGAGGAGGGGTATCGAGAGGGTGGGCCTGGATCCCTACACTGGGACCTGAGACAACAGGGCCTGGAATCATTTCTCCGCACACTCTATGTTCCTCATAAGCGTTTCCTCACAAAAGTACTCCTACAACAGTTTTGAAACCAAATCGCCCCAAGTACCCCCATCCGGGCCTCAGTCACACTCCAGCTCTGATCACAAAGGTAGGAGGAGTTCCCTACCCAGCGCCTACTGTCTGCCAGTCACAGGGTAAAGGCCTTTGTTAATCCCTAACAAACCACCCAGAACCAAATAACCTCATACCCACACATCACAGATAAGAAAAGCACAGGCTCAGCTAGTTCCACTCACCTGCCTAACGTCACACAGCCAGTTAAGGATTGTTTGCCAAATACTGCCTGGGTGAATAAAGTCTGCACATAGCTCAGGGCTCCCCCAGTCCACAGAGGGCAAGGGAGGGGGGATTTGGGAAGAGGGCTAGGGCCCAGAGTCAGCCAGCAGAATTGGTGGAAACACCAAGAACCAATCTGGATAGGTAGAGGCTTGGTTAGTTAATAGAGGGACAAAGGCAAATCCTATTTTCCATCTATTTCTTCTGTGATCTGGGGCAGGGCTCTCACCTCCTCTGAGCCCCATTTTCTCCAAAAGCAGGGACAAACAGAACCATCCTTGAGGGGCTGCTGCAAGGGTTAAAGAAGTCAAGGTCTGTGATCAGAGCTCAGCAACCCGAGAACATGATCTCTTCCCTGGGAAGCTGTAGTGGCCTCCTTTCCTCAGTAATTTCCTTGCATTATCATTAGCTTATTTATTTGGGACACACCATCTCCCCATTCCCTAAATCAGAGATGATCTAAGGTCAGAATGATCTAGACCTTTCTCCTGTGAGCCCCTAGTGCTCGGGACAAAGATGTACGCAGATTTGGGCTGATGGGTCAAAGTGGGTTTCAAGTGCACAGTTTTGGGGGTGGGGAAGAAAAAAAGCGCAGGGCTTTGGAACTCACTGCCTTGTTCCAAGGCGAGCAGAAAGGGGCTGGCACTAAAACCTGCCCGCACACACCCAAACATTGTAAAACAAAAAACATTGTAGCCTTTCTCCCACAAGTTTCCCCAGCAGCCATTAGGAGGAGTTCAAACACTTAAGTTAGTTAACTTCCACCACCGGGCAGGGTGCGGGTTGTTTCTTTTTTGTGATACATTTAATTTGTTAAGTAACAAATTCTGTCTACCAAATGTTGCAGTATGTATTTGCTCCTGGTGGCCTGCCTCACTTGCTCACTCCTGTATGTTCAATACTATAATTCACTGCTCAGAACATTGCAGGCTATGAACTTTTTTTTTAAGCACTTTGACTTTCTTCCCTCAGAACTGACAGAAAGTAGTTGTTAGGTTGGGGACTCCCTGTACTGTAAATTGCTCTGCAAAGCTGAACCTGGGGCTTAGAGCGGGCTTACACCTGGCCGGGAGAACTTAAGGATCCCGGAGTAGGTTTGAGAGAGGGGCCGGTTGGGCCATCAGGGTGGAGAAGTTAAAAGCAAGGAGAAGGGCTGGAGACTTATGGGAGGGCTCAACTGGGAAATGGCTGGAGGCTTGAGAAAGCAGGCAGGCAGGCGGGCAGGCAGGCGGGCAGGAAGGTGGGCAGGCGGTGCTAGCTTGAGCCCATTACGGCTCTGACAGATGGGAAAGGGGATGGTCAAAGTAAGTGTGAGGAGTCTTGGGAAATACTCCAATCTGTATCTTTTGGGGGTCAGGAAATTGCAAGAGTGCTAGCAGAGGCCCAAGGATGACTAACTAGGTGGGTGTACAGGGAAGGTCTGCAGGGGCAGCTCTTTGAAAGGAGAGGGTCCTGAAAGTCTGAAGGCGTGGAGGTAGAATGACTCTGCCGAGACCCGTGAGAAAGCATTTCCCATGGGGCACAAAGGCTGTGTGGTTGCTCCCTCAGAGCACATGCTACGGGCGTACAACTGAGGGTGTGGAAAGAGGAGGCTGAGCTTAGATGGTTCAGGCGTCAAAAAGCTGAACAAGCAGACACTGACTAAGTGGGGTTGGGTTTCATCTGACTAATCGTGTTGGACCCTGTGGAAGCTCTACTAATAGAGTCCTAGAGGGGGCTTTCCACGCTGATGAGAACTGGGCCTACTGGGGAAAGGAATGTCTGACAAGAGGTTGAGATCCCAGGAGGCTGAAAGCAGAAGCTGAGGGTCTCTGTCGAAGGTGCTGGGGTCCTCAAAGGCTCTGACGACAGACTGTGAGACCTAGTGTGAGATTCAGGTATCTGTAATAGGAGACTGAAACCCGGGTCAGCTTCTGAGGGCAGAGTCCAAGGTAGGATTGGGGAGTCAAGTCTGAAGGGGTGACGAGGTCTCAATAAAAGGGGGAAATAGGATAGAGATGCTGGCTGAAGGCTCTCTGACCTAGCATTGTGTCTGGACAGTTCCCCTCCCACCCAGAGCCTTGTCTGTCTCCTCCCGGCAGTCTCTGAAGTGACAACTGGAAGCTCAAAAAAGGGGGCATTCCCTAAAAGACTAGGCTAGGGTGGAGTCTGGCCACTGAGAGCAAATGCTGGGGCTAGGGGTGTCTGGAGGTAGTCTCTAAAGGCAGATGCCAAGGGAAGGGAGAGTAGGGTAGCCCACTTTAAATCAAAATTTGGCCCTCTAATGGAGGATTCTAGAGCCAGGGTGTGGCAGGGAGAGCTCGGAAATGTGGGGAAAGGATTGCTTACAGGGGTTCAAATGGCTTTGGAAGCTCACTGGGCATGTGTGCGCATGTAAGCGAGGTGGGAGGTGGAAGTCCGGGGGAAGATGTGTTCGAGAAGCCTCATAAGGGCTCTCCCAAGGGGCTGGCTCTTCTTGCAGGCTGCGAGGGCAAACACTCAAGCGCAGGGCTGTCAGACGGGGGAGGGGGGGGAGGGATTAGGGAGGGGGCCGGGGCAAGCAAATCCTGGAGGCAGTTTATGAATGGCATATACTGGAGGTGTGCTATGGAACATAGAACGTTGAGCCTGAAGGATGGGTGAGTGCAGAGCGTTCTGATCAGAGTTGGAAGGTCCTCAGGGGGGTCAGCTTCTAGAATTAGAATACTGCCAGGGAGTCTTGAAAGTCGATTCCAGTGAGGGAGGGGGACCTAAACTCAAGGTCAGATCGCTGAGCCTGAGGAGGGAGTGGTCCAGAATGGGGGGGGGTCCCCTCTGCCCCTGGGATCTGGGCGCCTCCCGCCGCCCCCCCCACCGCCTCCAGCCCATCCCGCAGAGGCCCCTAGAGTTACCGCTGTCCATCCCGACATCAGCCCGGCCCAGCGCTTCCCAGGCTTCTCCAATGCCTCCCGACACCCGTCCCGGGCGAGGCACCCAGAAAGATCATTTGTTACCAATGCCGGTTCCCCGGGTCGTGCCGCCGCCAACGCCTCAAGGAGCCGAAGCCAAGCCCGGCCGCCGCCCTCTTTCTCCTCCTCCCCTCTGCCTGGGCCACCTAGGCCACCTAGAATCGCCGCCGCCGCCGCCGCCTTCTCCTCCCCAGTCCGTGGTGCTACTGAACGTCCGGCTACCTCCTTCACCTTATCCGCTGACACAAGATGGCGGCCGCGGAGCCCAAGGCCGGAACAAAACCGTGTGCCCCACCCCCAGGAGCCCGGATGCAAGCCAGCCGCACCCTCTCATGAATCTTGTATAAGGTTCCCAGCCCTCCGACGACGAAAATTGGTGGCAAGAGAACAGCTCCATCTGGTGGCTATGTGACGAAGAAAACCGTTCAAACACCCTCCAAACCTCTCTCAAGTCCCGGCTGGCGCACAGCGACCTCATGCTCAACTCATTGCTGCGGCGTCCGTTCGGGCTCACCGGGTTGCCGAGACTCTTCAGAGGAATAGAAAGCTGCCCGCTTCTCCTGCTAGCTGTCCCACGGAGGGCGCGCGCGGGCGGGCCGGGGGCCGGGGGCCGGGGCGGACCAAGCCAAACTCCCTGCCTAGCCCTCAGGTCAATTCTGATTCACACCCAAGGGACTAGAACAAGGCCCCTGTGGGTTTCGGATTTCGGATACTGTAACTCTTCATAGAAACTGTAACTCTTCAAGGGAGATTGTAACTCTTTTTGAACATTTTATTAGGGGCTCATACAACTGTTATCGCAATCCATACACACATCAATTGTGTAAAGCGCATTTGTACATCATTCTCAAAACATTTTCTCCCCACTTAAACCCCCGACATTAGGTCCTCATTTTTCCTGACATTAGGTCCTCATTTTCCCCCTCCCTCCCCTCTCCCCCCTCCCTCATAGTTTATAAATTGGTATTTTGTCATATCTTGCCCTGTCCGACGTCTCCCTTCACCCACCTTTCGGTTGTCTGCCCCCAGGGAGGAGGTCACATATAGTTCCTTGTAATCGGTTCCCTCTTGAGATTGTAACTCTTTAGGGGAGATTGAAACTCTTTTAAGTGGTACTCTCTTTGTGAGTAGAAAGCCCCATCTTTCTCCAGAGGAGCAGCTGGGGTTTTGTACTACTGACCTTGCGGTTAGCAGCCCAACGAGTAACCATTTCGCCACCAGGGCTCCGGCCTCTAGAGGTTCAAAAACACAAACTTCAAACTCACTGCCACTGAGTCTGTTCCGACTCAGAGTGACCCTATAGGGCAGAGTAGAACTGCCCCTCTGAGCTTCTGCGACTGTAATGCTTTACAGGAGTAGTAAACCTCATCTTTCTCTCGAGGAGCAGTTGGTGGTTTCGAACTGCTGACCTTGTGGTTAGCTGCCCAACAAGTAAACCATACGCCACCAAGATTCCTTCTACATAGAGGCTAAGCCTCAGGAAAACATGAGTGAGTGAGTTGCTTGCTGCAGCTAGACTCTCAGGAAACCAAGAAAGGGTATGAAGGCCAGCTTTCTCACTATGAATTATGCATGAGGCTGGCTAACACTCTGCAACCAGAAAGCAAGTGTTAAATATGGAGGACACGCCCCACGATTTATGAATAATGAATGATGCAGCATCAGCCCTACCCTGAAACCAGGGGAGCCAAATCCACATCTTATTCATGAATAATACATAAACCCAGTGGGCTGGAACAAAAGGGGCAGGCCCGCCCATTGCTGCACCTGATATCCAGTAAGCAGGGGGAACGGGCTACTTGCTGCAGAGAAAATAGTTTCCCTGTTCATGAATAATGAATGACACCACTGCAGCAACTCAACCTGGAAACCCAGAGGGGTCAAAAAAGAACCCTCCCAGATTCATGAATTATGCACTCAAGAACGCTGTTGCCCAGCTGGAAGGGATTACGCTGCTTTAGCCTAGTTGCCAGGACAACATGGCCACACAGCCCCACTCATGAATAATGAAAGATGGTGCTGCAGCTCGACAAAGGGAGTAAAGCCCCCTCCTCCCCAGCCGTGAACTGCTCCTGAACCAGGGCTGCCATGATCCCATCTAATGCGGACGTGGTACATGCCTTTGGCATCTGCCTCAGTTTCCGAAACTACAAAACGGAGGAGCGTGAGTAGAAGAACCCAAGGGGCCCCTGGTGGCATGGTAAGGTATGCATTGGATTGCAAATCATAAGGTCAGTAGTTCAAAACCACAAGCAGCTCGCAAGGGAGAAAGATGAGGCTTTCCTACTCCCGTAAAGAAGCCCACAGGCACAGTTCTATCCTGTCTCATTGAGTCACTATGAGTCAGAATTGACTCGGCCCGGCGAGATTGGAAAACAGAACCCACCCCTCTTGAGGGGTTGAAATAAATTAAGAAAATCAAAGAATACGAATTAATGAGGTTAGACTATTGCTGGGATAAAAGTACTATAAAGGTACTAAACAAATACATTATTTTTATTAATACAAAATTAGTAATGGATGACAGAATGCCCCTTCACTACAGAAACCCTCACCTTGGATCATTATTTCAGAAGTGGTCTCCCCGAAGAATTCTCCAAAAGCAGAACAGTCTACCAAGTCACCAGACAGGACTATATTCCATGGAACCAGGAATATAGTAAGAACCCAACAGATCACATTAAACTGATCGCCAACTATGTGCTCTGGGGTATGTCGTAACGGTGTTTGGGGACATTGATATCCTCTTCAGGGAACCTCAGAAGATGCTCTTTTTATTAGTCCTGTTTGGCAGAGGTGGAAACAGGTTCTGCCTTGTTCTTCAGGTCTCAAATCAAAGCTGACCTCTTTAGAGAGGCCTTAAACCTTCACATTTCTGACAGCCAATGACTATGTGACCTGGGACCAGACATTTCACCCCTCTGGGACTTGGTCTCACCGGCCATACTGGAAACAGTAATAGTTTTACTGACCTACCTTGTGAGAGAGTTTAAATGAGTAAATACATCAAAAGCACTTCTAACGGAATGCCTACGATGGCTTCCATTAGTGGTACTACTACTACATTGAGGAGGGGGGCGACATTGTGGTCTTTGACTAAGCCGGCACACTCTGACCAGCTGGGATTGAATCCTGACTGTGTAATCTTCAGGCAAATTACCCAGCCTAACTGTGCCCCAGTTTCCTCATCTCTAAAAGGAGGAGGCAATCGCCTACCTCCTAGGGTTGTTGTGGAGACTAAATGAGCTAACAACACAACGAGTTAAACAACTCTGATAATTTTAGCATCTTTAGCCTCATACTCATTTCCCCAGACTCAGAAGATTTGCCAAAGATCACATAGCTGGAGGATCAATGGGATTTGAATCCAGAGCCTTTGTTGATAATCTGGGATATGGAACTCTAAGGAATAACAAAAGGAACCCTCCTCGGCTGGTTGGCGCAGAGCGAGGTTGAGGTTCAAACCCACCAGTCACTCCTCAGGAGAAAGAAGAGGCCACAGAACGATGTAGAGGCACAGAACCCCCACCCCCCCTTACAGGACATTTCTCGTCTGCTCTATAGGGTCCCTATAAATCAGAATCTACTAGACAACAGTGGGTTGGTGGTGAGGGGGTGGATTGGGAAGTAAGAAACGCAGGAGGCGCTAAACACAAGGCTTACACCTGGAACCTGTAAGAGGGGTCTATGCAGAAAAGGCTGAAAAAGCCATGCTCCTCATGAATTAGACACAACTCCCTTAGAAAGAGGAGCTCTGGTTGGCACTGTAGCTAAGTACTCTGCTGCTAACAGAAAAGTCGCAGATTTGAATCGACCAGCTGCTCGGCTCTGCAGGAGAAAGATGTGGCAGTGTCTTCCCTGAGGCCGCTCTCCTGGCCCTATCGCGTCAACTAGGAGAACGAATCCACTGGATGGCAATGGGGAGGGGATGGGTCCCTGGAACGCATGCAGAAACCTCTGGGCTCTCCTTGCCGGCCTGAATAATCAAATCCCCCCTCAGCACACTGACCCGCCCCTTTATGCATAATTCACTACCTGATACTCACCTTGAATGAAGTGCAAAAATACCTCCTCAGGAAAAACTTAGCAGTCTGGGTTCCAAAGTCCCTGAGCACAGCAGGGGCTCTTTTCTTTAAACACGTGTGGACCCCAGTGTGCTGTTTCACCACCCTTACTCCCCACGTGCAAGAAACACCCCATAATAGAACCATCAGAGGTCACAATGGCCATAAATACCTTTCAAATGCCACCTCAGTCGTAAACGCCCCAAAACACACTGTCATCGAGACAGTTCCTGATACACTCTCCGAAAATCCCGTTCTGACTTCAGGAACCTCTAACTCCGCCTCCTCCGTCTTGGGGAAACACCTCAAATCCTCCCTCTGGGACAGACGACTCCAACACGGACCCTAAGTATCTCCCCAAACGTCCCTCCGAACACTGCCTCCGAGGGGGGATTCCCCCCCCAAAGGCTTCCCCCGTCCCACCCCAGACTCCTAAAACACCACCTCCAAAGGGTCCTTCCAAAACGTGCCATCCGGGGCCAGGAGCCACCGAATGCACCCACTAGGGAGTCCCGAAGTGGAGTGCCCTCTCCTAAATGCTGTGGGATGCGGGGGGGCCTGCTCCAGCTTACCCCCTGGGCTGGGCGGAAGCCTCGCCTTCCTGTCGGAGCTGAGCCGGAGCCACGGGGCAGCGGAAAAGCAAGCCCCCTCGGTCTTGCAAGAGGAGCTAGAGTTTGCGCGGAGCTCAGAAGCGCGCGGGGCCTCTAGGGCCCCGTGGCGGGATCCTACCACAGGCTCTGGGCTTCAGGGGCACCCGGCCCTACTCCCGCGCCATTCGCGCCTGCTTCAGACCCAAACACCCCTGTAAATTGTGATAGTGCCCCACGGTGTGGGGCATGCTGGGGATTGTAGTCCTGTCTGGCCAGTGCCTGGTGCACGTGGTGGGTATCTCTGGCTCAAAGTGTGGGCAAATGTAACCCTGAACTGCAGGCGCAGCGCTCTTGGGAGAGGAAAAAGGGAGACGAACGTGGGGGTGCCTCCAGACGGAAAGACACCTGTCCTACCGAAGGAGGGACTGAGACTCAGGTGATCAAAGGAGTTCATTCATGTGACATGCATGGAGCTTGCACTGCGGGCCAGGGACTCATGGCACTGACATTCTAATCAGTGACAGGCCATAAACATAAGAAGCAAAAAGCACAGCTTCACCTATAAGTTATGTATTATAATAAATACATGTGACTATCATATCAATTATATATCATACCATGCACATATGTATAGTGTAGCTAAAAATTATTTACATCTTTATATGATAAATTTGACTCCTGTTAACTATATTACATAATGTATTTATATATTAATGCATGGATATATATCACATAAAGAAACATGAATTGGTAAAGTCGAGGGTTGGGGAAACATCAATGATATGGATCGATTCATCCTGAAATATGTTAACAGTGACTCAAATTAGCATTGTATACATATGCTATAGAGCCCTGATTACTGATTATTGTATACATATTGTATGTATTGCATCACATACAACATTGTACACCTATGCTTTAGAGTAGTGGTTATGCATTGGACTGCAATCCGAAAGGCCAGCAGGTCAAAACCACTAGCCTCTGCGAGACAAAAGCAGGGATTTCTACTCCCATGAACAGTCTCAGAAATCCACTGGAGCAGTTCTCCCCTCTCTTGTAGGGCTGCTACAAGCTACAGCATGACTTCAATCAGTGAGTTTAGGTTTTATACATATGCTAACTTCTAAATGCTATGAGAGGAAATAGGGCAAGGGAAGGGGAAATCTGTGGGGACAGGCTGCAATGTCAGATAATGGGATCACTTTATACTCAATTCTGAATCTCATATCCTGTCCACAACCTCTAAGTTTGTTCATTGGAAAATGATTTGTTAAGCATCTACTAAGTGCAGGGCCACGAGACTAGAGCAAGGAATGTAGCAAGGCCATTGCCCTCGGAATTATCAAGATTTTGTCTCATCAGACAAACCCTCCCCTTGAAACACCATCTAAAGTCCTTCGGGAAAGACTGAGGAGGTGGCACTTGAACAGTGAGGAACAAATCAGGTGTAGGAACTGGGTCACAGGTAGATGTAGGTGAAAGCATTCGAGGCAAAAGGAACACCAAATGCAAAGCCTTGTGGTTGGACAGAACTCAGTATGTTTGAGGAGCAGCACAGAAGTCTATGTAGTTGGTGAGGAATGAGCAAAAACGACAAGAAACCAACACCGCTTGTGGAGCCGGTTCTGACTCTAAGTGAATTTACAGTAGAACTGCCCCCCATAGGGTTTTCAAAGCTGTAATTTCTTTTTAATTTGTGTGTTAGTCTGGGTAGACTAGA